ATAAATAAGAGTCAAGAAATTAAATTATAAAATGTCAAATTTAAAAAAAAAAAATAAATAAATATATATATAATATCATTTCCTTACAAATAAATGTTGTACATAAAATTGACATTACATGTTTCGGCTACTACATCGAGCCATCTTCAGATGTTTCTTCTTATAAATCTGGATAAATCGCATCGAACATGCAAGACAGTAGTTCTCTGATGAATTACAAAATTGAAAACGATCGTTCTCAAGCAGTTGGTAAACTAGTACATTTTATATGTGCATTGAACTTTCCCACTTTATAAACTTCTTTTCGGTCAAGATTGCTTCCCATTCAATTCGATTTCAGAATTTTTTAAACCCTTACAACGCTATAAGAAGAAAAACTTATGAAATATTCAAATTTCTCTCTGAATACGTATAGTCTCAATATTGAACGGACTAAAATCTATCTATGCGAATAGCTCGTAGCATAGCAAAAGCCCAACGTCACAAGCGCGAAATCGCGTTGCTATCGCGGCCACCCTCCGTGCCGCAAAGTCGTCCGTCTTACGCGAGTGCCTTATTATGCTCGTCCGAGGTTAACGCCGTTCTTATCCGCGCACGTGAGCCTCGGGTCAGGAAGCATTAGACGCGCTTTAGCAGATGTGAGCCCGTCGCAGCCGCTCGGAATAAAGCTCGTAAATGGACGAAAAAAGTGGTCGCACGATAACGCGCGCTCCTTTCCCGTCGAGGTGCATTCACTGCCCCCTCGGCCATCCCGCCGTCAACCCTTCTCGTTCCATTTCCATGTCGCCGTCACATTAGGCTACTGGCATTTCTATTTCCACGAAACGTGCATCCGGGTCGTCGTCATAGTCACCGTCATCGTCGTTTACACGAGGTCTTTAATAGCATACGACGACACGTTGAATAAAGATTGCGCCTACATGCAGTAAACGGCGTTGTTTAATCTTACGGTATTGCGCTTTCGTCATTCACATGGCTGTCAGGCCGCCGATGAAAGAAACCACGCTATTGGTAGTAACGCCGGAATATATACGTTCGTATCTTTTGTGGTCCATTCGACGTGTTGGTAGAAAACGAAATATAATAAATTCGATATTCCACGAGACACGAGAGTCTCCTGCTGAGGTGACGTGAATAAAAATCGAAAAACTAAGTTTCTATACAATTCTTATACTTCATAAGTTTTCTAAGATACTGAAAAAGTTTACATTTTATTCAGACGGAACTTGGTATCTTTGTTCTAAATATTACAAATCAAAGAAATACGAATATTAGATAACAAGCGTGAAATGATAACAAATCACCAAGTGAAAAGAGAACTTGCTTTCAATTTTCTTCATTTAGCGATTAAAATCATTTCGAGAGATTAATTCCGAAGAAACGTAACTCGCGAAATTGAAGCGATACCATTGCAACAGCAATGAGTGCACTCGCGAGGAATGAAGCGCTGGCACGGCTAAGGAAGATCAAAGATGCGTTTTCGAGATTATGACAGGCGCACGAAAGATTAAGATTTCTTGTACTGAGTTTATATTTGAAAAGAAGTGGCTTCCGAACGAAGGCAAGCTGTTGAAAGCAGCGTATATTATATCTGCGAGAAGGGTGGAGATAAACGCGCTGCTTTCGTATTTCTTCTTATCTCTCATTCTCTTATCGGCGTCTGTTCATCTTCAGAATACAAATCTCACTGTGAGAAAACATCGCCCTTCCTTGCGAGAAAGACCGTCCTTTTTTTTTTCGCCGTCTTCGCAAACGCGCGAGTTTCGTTATGGATCATCGAAAAAGAAGTACAATGCACATTGTGCATTGTCAAAGTATCAAAAGATTTGTGCCACCGTCAGCTATATCAAAACGGACGTAGCAAGCTCGGGACTGTTCTCGCTTAACGTTTCTAAAAGTGCATTGATCCTGTCAGCCAAATACAAAACCGTTTCCCCTGTTTCTTACGAAAAGATACGTGATCTGATTTCTCAAAACGACTTTAATATTACGTCGAATTTTCAGGATTCTAGTTGTTTTGTATCTTGCGAAAAACTCGAGGATGATTATATCTTTTTCTGAAGTGCTCAGTTTCTCGTATTCTTCAGCTTTTCATTTTATTTTCTTGTACTTTACATAAAGTTCTTTAATAATCTTTTACTACAAAACGATTATTTTTTCTTTGTTTTAATAAAAGAATTGTGTCGTAAATTATTTGTATGCGCGCAACGTGCTTTAATACTTGGCAACTATATATTATATTAATAACTTTAGAGATTCCAAAAGTCTTTTATTTTCAATAGATGTAATACAATCAAGTTATAATTTTTTAATATTATTTTTACACAAACATATTTGTATATGACTGAAAGCATATGTTCTGTAAGTTGTTTATTCTTCTCTGATTCTTTTCAATATTTTTCTCAATAGAATTTTCATGTACCATACGAAGACACATTTCAAAACTAATATTTTTAAGTTCCATTTCAATTAAAAGCATTTTTCATTAGAAATTCCACAAATATTATATATTATACATTAAACCTTTTTTTTTTTTTTTTATAAAACATCACTTTTATTATAAATGTTATTATTGTAAATATTACCGAGTATTATGTTTAATCAATACTATAAGATCTGTTGTTTGTTTCCTCTGTTTCTGTTTTTCTTGGCGATCACGACTAAAAGCTTTAGGGATCAACGCCCTTCTATCTTTTACCGTAAAACGAGCTGTAGAAAGAAATTCTTCTTTTATATAAGATATATTTCTGAAATGCTATTACTCTGGATTTTGTCTCTACTGAAAGCTTTAGAAGATTATCACTCTTTTATTTCGAAACGAAACTTCGACAAGAATCCAATTATATGTGCATTTATCCTATGAAATCACATTTTATAAAGAATTTTTATCACAGAATTCTTTTATATGATCAATATCTTATAAGAGATCAAAAGAGAGCTCCTTAAAATTCCGTAATGGGTGCTAGCAATAAAACACAACCGTATCTTCTGTGTACATCCTCACGATAGGCTCATTCAATATGTCTAGTAGACGTTTAAAATTTAATTAATTAAACGTCGTAAACTATAGAGTTATACTCTTCATCTTTTCTGCACATCGCGACACGATTAGGTGCTCTGGAATTGGTGCAATCGAGCGAGATCTGAACGTCGCGTGAGAGTTACGTTCAAGGAGTTGAATGGATAATGTCGCGAAGAAACACGGCCTCCTCTCTCCTTCGAATTCTCGCCGAGTTTTCGGTACATCTGCTAAGCGCATTACAGGATAAAGAGGAGTTTCCCATCTTACTGATGTTCGTCCTGGGAAGCGTACGCTGCTTTACAAGGGATTTCTTCATCGCCCTTACGTCTCAGTCGTATTACATATTACACACTGCTTCCTTATAATTAATAATTTATTTATATACCGCCATAAATCCGCGTGAGCGGTTTTTCTTGTTCTTTAAGATTTTTATCAAACTCTTTCTAAAGAGAAAGATTGTTTTTATCATTAATATTGCTTCAGTTTTTTTTCAACGTATATTTTATTTCCGCGATAATTCACGCGATAATAGACTCGATGAATTGAGAAGCTCAGAAATATGATATTATTTATGAAATAATTAATAGAAATCTTTTTACGACAGTTCTCATTTTAGAATATCTGATGCGTTTATTATTCAGATCGCGAAGACTGAGGAAAGCTTTTTGCGAAGTACCCTTTCGTTGATAAATCAAACATTTTTCGGAAAGCGCGACAAAGTACTCGAGACATCCATTTCGTCGAATTCGTCGGATGGTAGAGAGCCGTGAAAAAGGTGTTTTCTGGTGGCACAGTCCCGAGCGGGCGCCGTGTGATAAAACGCACAATATTTCCCTATCACGCAAATGCGGTCGACTGGAATAAATTAAGCGTCCTCGCAAATTTTCGGAAATGCCGGCGGAGGGTCGTGTGAAATAATGAAGAGCTACAGCGACATTAACATTCTATATTGCCAGAAAGAGAAAGGCGCGGCCGTCGTAACCGCGCTGCGCGTGGTTAGCGCGTGCTGTATCCGGAAATAGCGGGGAACGAAAAACGTGCCCGTGAGCAGCTCAACCGTGAGTAATCACCGTGCAAATCCCCCACGATTTATACCTTGTTTCGTATTCCCGCTATCCTTTGCGCGACAAGCAGGTCCATTCAAGTTTGATAAGTAACTACCAGACTTGTCGTGATATAACTTGCTCCATCTCTATTGGAGCGACGCGAAACGCAACGAAGATGTACATAAAGTTCACGTGTAGATACCTATAGCAAAAGAAGTTCCTTCGGTCCGCTCGTGTGGAAGTTTAGTAATTTTTTTTTTTTTAAACTTTTTAATTGTTCTTTATAAAAATACTTAAAAATATGTATGTGCGTTTTTTTTATATATTTAAAAATATCGAAGATATCGTGTATATATTGTATTTTGACTATGCTGAAAAATTCTGTGTCAATCAATAAAGATTTCAAGAATTTTAATAATAAAGAATATCTTCTCACACAAAGAATATTGCCTCTTTGTGAGTACAAAGCTGTAAAATTTTCCAGATAAATTCCAAGAGCACATATTGAATTTATACAATATGTATGTAAAATAATATTTCTCTTTTTGTACAATTAAAATTACCTTTAAAAGCCGATGTAACTTCGAGATTTCTAGTGAAACTTGACATACCTTCACGTAATCGTTTGAATTTAGAAATGCAGCTTTGTACGTACGTATATAGAGAGTTTCCACTTCTGTCGCAGAGCGGAAACCGCTAAACGAGAGATTCACAGAAATGGACTAAAGGCGGAAAGGGGACACCATTTGGTCATGACAATTTAAGTTTCAAAATTGTTAATCCATAGTGCACATTCTGATCCAAAGTCTCTCGGCTATAAAGGAACTTCGTTTCGCTTTGATAAGTGTCGACGGAATCTTCTCCCTTTCAGGGTAGGTGAAAGAGAAAGATTATAACGACGGCACACGTGTGCACGTAAAGGACGTACTCACCGTTGAGAACGTGAACCGCCACGGTGGTCTTGGCTTTGCCGGGCACCATGCAGCTATAGTTCCCTGCGTGCCTGGGACTGGCTCTCTCCACGATGAGAGTACTGACGATCACAAGGACCTCCTTGCCTGCCGTGATCTCTGTCGTTCTGTTCTCGCTAGAAATGAGATCGAGTCGTGAGTTCCATATTTCTCTTTTCTGTCTAGTTCACGTATCACATTGATACATGAACGGAATTTTACTTAAATATATACAGGATATTTTTCTGTGTTCTTTTGACTACGAACTCTTTAATATTAATCTAAAGTTTAATTTAAAGTAAATAGCATATAAATTTTACTCAATACCATCTCTTATTACAAAGATTAAATAAATACATAAATAAAATTAAGCATTTTCTTTCTCTAATCCTTAAATTAAAATTCTTAATTAAATTCTAAAATGTCACTTTTTAAGTATCTTTTTAATTTTCAAGTTAAAACATAATATTCTGGTAAATAGTACAAGATTTCAACTCTCTCATCTAAAAAGTCATTTTTAATTATTTATAAAAATTCTCAATTCTTATTATTTGAAATTATTATCTTAACATTTTTTACTAAGGAAATACTAAACATATATAAACATATAAAAATATAAATGCTACAAAGAAATCAAAACATTTTGTATATTTACGTCATCAAGTAGCTATGAAAAAGAGAAACGGAGATGATTTTGTTGAGTGGACGTATTATAGAATGTGGTTAGAGAAATTGCTAATCTGCTGCATACTGATTTAGACCAGACGTTGCCTGCCGATTTAATTACGAAACTCGTTTCAGCATTGAGCGATAAATTTATCGCTTGAGAGCATATATATTCGAATAGAACGTGTATTTTACAGACAGATATAATTGACAGATAGCTTAAACTATATTTTCCAACAACGTTTGGAATCTTCACACATAAAGATTTTTTTAATTCATTTATATTAATCATTATATATTGAGTATATATATATATATATATATATATATATATACAAAAAGATTATATTATTATTATATTCTTAAAATTTCAGAATCTTTATTAATTTTATAAGTGTAATTATAAATTTATGTTTGTTTATACATGGCGTCTCTGAATTTAACAAACTACAGGAGCATGTTTTATAAATGTAATTACAAAAATATATATCTAAAGTTTGATTGTAGAAATACTTTATTACAAAATTATAAACAAATATTAAAACGGAACATAAAATACAAAACGGATTTTCTATTGCGCAGAATATGAAAATACACATTCCGCGTATGGAAAGGTCGAACGTGTTTATTTCGTGTGTATATTCACATCATATTTACTGTTTCTAAATTTAATATCATTTCGACCTTTGCATGAATATGATATTCAGCCCCGAGACAATAGCTACCCTCGAGAAGAATAACTGTTAGACTTCTATCGGTGTGAAATAGTAACTGTTCAAAATGCCAATATTTCACCAAAATATCACCAAAATGTTTATTTCAATATTTGTTTAAAACTTTGCAATAAAGCATTTCTAACCAAACTTCACGTAACATTTTCTTCTTACTTCCATTTATAGAATATATGTAACTGTTCCCGCAGTTTGTCCATTAAATCCTAACATTCCCTCTGTACATAAAAACGGAAATAAAAAAATAAATAAAAATTCTTAAAATTCTCTTTTAAAAATAACATATAAAAAAAGAACTTAAATTAGAAATCTTTCTCCAAGACTGATATCAAACACTATTACAACAACACTGTATCGTTCAAACGTATATCTCACACTTTTCTTCGTAAATTCGATATCAGGCTGTCGATATGAAGTGTTTATAGAGTACACAAAGATGTTCGCTCCTACGTGTGGGGGAGAAATTGTAGAACTGTAAAGTGGGGTACGATCGTGTTTGCGCCGAGCGTGAATATTCGCCTATATTCCAAGCGTGTATTTTAACGCCTTACTGCTCCGAGTTTCTAACAGAAAATCTATGAAGATTATTATTTTTAGTATATGAATAAAGTATTTCAATATTTTATTTTTACAAAATTACGTTAATAAGAGAATCTATATTCACGTATAATATGTATACGTATATAGCCTATACGAATACATATTTTCGAATAATTTTATAATATCTTTTTTTTAACTTATGATCAAAAATAAGAACAATATAATTTTTTATCTTATGTACGAAAATAGTATAAAATTTTTAGATATCCCAATTATCATTGTTAGAAAAGAGCAAAAAACAGAATGTGAGAGATCTAGGAAACGATGGAATAAGAATTCTTCGCTTTTTTCGGGAATGTAGATTTTGAACAAACCTTGGAGCACTTATCTATATTCTATCATAATTCAATAATTTAATTAAAAATCTATTTTATACCAGAACTGCAGTAGAATCGTTCGGAAAAATTTACAAAAAGTTATTCTCTTTTCACAAGACTGAGCAGGGTCTCATGTTTCCTTAATCGATAAAGAAATCCACGAGGATATTTATTCTTTACTAGTATTTGATGTTAAATCAAACAGAAACCCAGATTTTAAATCAAATAGTATAAAAATATTTTCGAGATTTCTAATAAAAAGATTTTTATAGATTTTAATTCAGTGTTACACACATCAAAAATTTATAGTTGTCTTTACACAATCTTCTTAAACCTAGCACTAAATATTAAATATAAAGATGATCATAAAAATACAAGATGTTATGAAAAAATGCTATTTGTATATATTTATATAAATAATAAAAAAATGATGCAAAGGATGAAGAGATATTGATAGTATTTTTAAATAATATAAATGTGTTACCGAATAGTCTAAGGAAAATTTATTTTCTGAAATAATACAATCTAAATAGAAAAAGCGATAGAGATCGCAGTTATTCCAAATTGAAAACAAACGGTCGCAATATGCCATAATGGTTTGTTCCAAGCACTTACCTAATGTCTTCTGTAAGCGTCTCGTCTCCTCTAGTCCAAACGACGGACTCGTTGAGCGACTCGAGCACGTCCCTTGCCTCACACCTGAGCCTGAGGACACTACCTGCCTTTAGATGCCTTTCCTTGGAAACTATACGTCCAGAATCATCACTGATCGTCAGAGTTGGTGCTGTAACACAGAATATGAGCAGTTAGCATTGGATGCTAGTTAGAAATTTATTCTAATTGCTCGCTTAAGCGGTAATTCCAATAAATTTTAATTCGAACTCTGATACCATAAAATATTTATATAGTAAACGTGACTGTTTTTTAACAAACAATGTTTGCAGTTGATAAATATGTATGTATCCTTTTAGTTAATATTTTGTATAATTTAGACTTAAACAAATTCAATTAAAAAGAAAAAGTACACGCATACAATTTTTAATAACAAAGGATGTAAATTTTCGTTATACTGATATTAATAGTTTTTATTAAATCTAATAAAATCTGATAAAATAGTTATAGCTTTTTCAGGTGCCAAAGGATTTGTGGATTATCGCCGTCTCTGAAGAAAACATCTGTAAAAGTTTTAAAAGTATCAAGTTATTGCTTTTCTCAAAAGCGACAATAACTTGAACGTAGGAGAACTGAGTACATTTTTTCATTCAAATAACAGCGCAAGTGTGCAAAATGCGTCTAAAAAATATCGGATGTAGATATTATACAATAGAAATATAATATATGCATATATCAATCTTGTTCATATAGACAAATGCGAAAAAGCAAAAGAGAAAAATTCACTACAACCCCATGCTTTTCTCACCCGGAAATTCTTTTACTAAAAGAAGAAGAATATGGAGCATATAACACCTGGCATATAACATCTACCTCCGCTTCAGTTAGACGAACGCGAAAGCAAAACGCATCGACCTGCGGTTACATCATCCATATCGATAAAAGCTGTCGGCAAAAAGCTTTCTCTCCAATGCACCGGACGGCCGCTTGCGCGCGAGTTTTCGAGGGAATTGGGAACGGATTATTCGTGACCAGATGCGTAAACGCGTCTCGGAAACGTGCGCCAACTTTTCTCTCGGTTTGCGTAGAATCGGCACGTTTACGGAAATAGTCTCGCAAACGAAAGCATTGCGAGTGAGCCTGTTGTTGAAATTCAGTACACCCGTCCGACAACGATTCTCATGTCGACTGCTATGCAAATTTGATGATATCAACTCACTCTCGATACGTTTTTCTCGTTCTTCCTCCGATCGTTTTTGTTCCGTCTACACGTTATCGGCTTTTGTAAATTGCATGTTGTAAACAGTTGATAATAATATTATGTGGCGTTAGAATGGTAATTTTACAATCGATTCTATGTTATATATATATATCAATTTTATAATGTATACGTTTTTCATAAAGATTTTTAAGAAGTTAATAATTTAATAACATTTTCAAACATCTCCGCCAGATACATTGAAAATTATAAAATTCATGTAACTTATCATTATCGTAAAATAATTTAGGATGATAGGATACTATCATTAGTTTTACAAACTAAAAATGCTTCAAACGTGTCATTAGATAGTCTATTTTTCCGCGGTACTAAAATTTGATTACCAATATTCCGGAGCTGATGACAAAATTGTATTAAACTTTAAAAATAAGTATTGAATATGAAGAAAACGTTCAATTGTGTAACGTGATATATTTTTGATTATCTGATAAGAAAGAATTCTATGTGTCGATAATGCTATTAACGGCTAATTAATAGTCTTCATTTTTTTTGCGATCAGCTTCTACGGAAGATCTCGAAGAAATATTAGGAGATAATCTGGTTTCGTTTCTTAACTCACATTTTTTATTTCTGAAATAAGCAAATTTTCGCAATATTCGTGATCAATAGTGGTTTCGGAAGAAATTCCGGCTTCTGATATTAAGTTTAGCCATTTCAACTTAAGTTTAGGAATAGTCACAGATGAAATAATGTAAGGTTTGCTACATATATTATCAAAATTAAATACATTATTAATTATTTAACATTTTTAAATATTTAGTTGATGCCATTTATTAGAACATCTTTTAAGAGTTCACAATTACGTAAATCACGAAGGGTATACAAATTAATTTTAAGTTGTAATAAAACTGAATGCAATCACACATGAAATTGTGTCTATGCTGAAGTATCTTATGTATCTGAAAAAATCAGTTTAAATACTGGTTTTTTTATCTAGATACATGTATAGAGATACTACCCAACACACTGCTGCAAAAAGATAGTCTAAAAATTTGAATTCTTTTATTCGAATAAATAAAAGAAAATCCTACAACTGTTCGTCATATCTTTAAGGATTCACAATTTACAATAAAAAATAATAAAAGTATTCTACTGAGCTTTCTCTTCTTCACTTAAATGAACGAAAACTCTTTGAGTACATAACACAAAGGTACGTTTATTAAGGATGAATAACCTGCTTTAATAAGGATTAATATACTACTACTTAATTAATTCAAAAAATCTTTAACTTTATATATTTTTGACATTAATATCATGTTATCAATATTAAATAAAATACAAAAAAAGGGACAAATATACAGTTCAATGAATAAATTAAAATCCAAAATTTCAGATAACTACGAATCATTTACCGACTAAAGATAACTTAATACGATTAGTTATGTAAGTATATGAGTTACAGTAGGATGCTTTTAACGCACTTGCTGAAACACTCGGGCAATCCCTTGATTAATGTCCACGATACCGAGGATGCGACACGACGAAACCACTTAGGGTGAAATGAAGCTGTCAAGCAAGAGACCCAACTCAATACATGAGTGCCTTTGTGCCGGTAAAAGCGAGAATTCGAAAGTTAAAGGGACTCGGTGGGATGGGCTTTAACTACCTGATGCACTTTGGAGGCCAGCGATGGACCTTATGCTGAACATAACAATCTCATATATAATTTTGAATATTCTTACGTAACATAGTTTCACAAAAGGATTTACTTACACGAATGTTTACAAATTAGACATTTAATATATAATACAACCCATTTCCAAAGTTAAAATTTAATTTACTTATAAAATAAACTTAGAAATTATCTCAATTAAGGATATAGATTTTATGAAGAAAATTCTCCTCTCTTTTGGCAATCATAAAATACCTGTAGAGATTATTTAGCATTCTTTTTAAACATAATGATATCCGTAATGGCCAAGTAATCGCATCTCTATTCATGCATCTAATGCGCGAATTCAATTTTCGATTAACGTTCACACACCGTGCTCCGGAATCAGCCAGGCAAATAATCTCCGTGCGAACGACGGCTGTCATTCTCACTCGCCGTTGGAAACTACCACATTCGCGGTCGCTCGTGGCTTCTTTTTTAAGTTTAAGTAATTACGTAATATCTTGCTGTCGTTGACATTTTCTAACTCGCTTGGCGAGATATCGACAGTTCGGTTTACGCGTGAACGTTTTCGGGCGGATCTTCTCTTCTGATGAGAACAGACGCTGCGGAATTCGATGGAGAATTTAATCCAGTCCCAAACGGAATTGAGGGAGAAAAAGATTGAGAGAGGAAAGGAATGAGAAAGACAGAGAAAGGTGGAAGAGGAGAAAAAGAGAGGTCGGCAGAAGAACTGCGCGCGCGTCTGTAATTTCTTTTGGCGGATCATTTTTTAAGCTCCTTTGGGACGAATAGTTAGAGAGGGAAAGGGCGACGAATGCAGAGGTGGGCAATCGGTCGTTTGCTCCCCGAGGAAAACGCCGAAGTCGAAGTTGCCAGAAGGATAGTATTATTTAAATTGGATTCCGCGATTCTCTGCGCGACTTCGATCTACCGTCCGCACTCCAACTTCGTCACTTTTTCGTTCCCACGAGTGTACGCGCCGCTTATTAAAATCCCTCATGGTTGGGATGGAGATGATTTCAGAGAGACATTTGGGGAAGTGCAGCCGCCAGTACCTTAAAGTTTACTCTTTATCTGAAACTTTATGTTGCAAAAAGTCTAAAAGATGTCAAAAAGATGTCATAACCTTTTAGCGAGCTTTAAGATGTTTTTTTACATCTTTTTCTGTTCATCTAAAAAAAACCAAATTATACTCCTTTTAAATTTCAGTCTCTGTTTATTATAAAAATTATTTTATAGATAGAAATACTATTAATCAATCAGGTTTAACAAAAACTTAAATATCTATTAATTATAAAATTAAAAATGGTTTCAAAAAATTTGTGGAACTCTCATCAATTTGATTGAATGTGCATTGAAACGCAGGAGCTTCAAAAATGTTTGCTATGCAATGTCGTCTATTTCAATCAAATAAAACCGAGAATTTTATTTTCTAGATGCAGCTGCGGTATGTAGAAAAAAATATGAATGGCACCAGTAAAAGACTGGGATATTAAAACATTGCGGATTTCATGTTAAACTATCCAATAAATACTAGGGCAAATAGTTCTAGTATAGTTAATCTTCATCTATGCCTTCAACGTAATTAAATCCGCGCCAATCCATTAAACAGAATAGATTTTGACAAATTGTTCGTGCATCTGGCACAAGTATTCACCATGATTCCTTTTTCACGCTTGCTGTATTTGTATTTTAGACAAAATAAAAATTATGAAATATAGTGCGGTTATTTTAAGTAAAATTTTATTAACTATTTTTTAGTGCTTCTATTTTAGTGATTTCACACAATTGGTTATCAAGAAAAATCCATTTTTTAAGTATATTTTTGTAATCTAACAAATTAAATTTATAAAATTTCGCGTTAACATAAAATTTTAAATAATAATTTTTTTATTTGAATGTACATATATAACATCAAATATTTTTAATTGTCAGTAATATATATATAGCAAATAATAATAATCAATCAGATTATCATCTGCTTTCTTTCTCCTATAATTTCTTTTATATAGACTTAAAAAATTTTGATTAAAAGTGAAATTTATAAAAATTTAAAGAATATTTTAACAAAAAGATAATATATAAAATGTTCTTAATAAACATATTAAAAAATAAAAATTTTTAGGTATATATATATATATATATACATATATATACATATATATACACATAGATATCTAAGTAAATGTTGTAAGTTTACTGTAAATATAGAAAATTCATAAATATTTTACAAGCCTGTAATTAAATTAATTCGATAATTATAAAATTTAAAATATTT